CTTTCGGTGCTTTGGCTGCTTATTATTGTTGTAGTGCTCACTTATCTTACCATTTTGTTTAAATTATATTTATTATTGCATATACATATATGGGATATACAGTGTCTGCCCTCCCTGTATTCCACCTGCCATAGAGAGTTTCTCCACTTATATATCCTTCGTAGTCGGCAAGCCATCGATCATGATCTTCCCATGGACCGCGGGCAGCCGCGGGTATATCGCCTTCACAGCCCTGCTTTGTCGGTCTTTCTTCCCCAGTGGGACAGAAGACACAACAGTGGGGGTGGGGGGGGGGGTAGAGAACACTATGAGACGGGGATGATTTTTAAGGGGGCAGAGGACACTGCTATGAGGGGAGAGGGCAGAGGGGGGTGGGGGGTGATGTAAAGGGGGCAGAGGACATTATTCATTGTTATGGGGGGGGGGAACACTACTGTGGGGGGAGGATGATGTGAAGTGGGGCAAAAGAAACTACCGTGGGGGGGGGAGTGATGTGAAGGGGAGCAGAAGACACTGGCATGGAGGGATGATGTGAAGAGGGGCAGAGGACACTACTGTTGGGAATTGGGGGGGGGGGGGGGGAGTGATGTGAAGGGGAGCAGAAGACACTACCATGTGGAGGATGATGTGAAGAGGGGCAGAGGACACTACTGTTGGGCGAGGAAGGGGGGGGGGAGTGATGTGAAGGGGAGCAGAAGACACTGCCATGGGAGGGATGATGTGAAGGGGAGCAGAAGACACTACTGTTGGGGATGGGGTGGGAGCGATGTAAAGGGGAGCAGAAGACACTACCCATGTGGAGGATGATGTGAAGAGGGGCAGAGGAACCTACTGTTGGGCGAGGAAGGGGAGTGATGTGAAGGGGAGCAGAAGACACTGCCATGTGAAGAGGGGCAGGGGAACCTACCGTTGGGCGAGGAAGGGATGGGGGGGAGTGATGTGAAGGGGAGCAGAAGACATTGCCATGGAAGGGATGATGTGAAGGGGAGCAGAAGACACTACTGTTGGGGGATGGGGGGGGAGCGATGTAAAGGGGAGCAGAAGACGCTGCCATGGGAGAGATGATGTGAAGAGGGGCAGAGGACACTACTGTTGGGAATTGGGGGGGGGGGGGGGGGGAGTGATGTGAAGGGGAGCAGAAGACACTACCATGTGGAGGATGATGTGAAGAGGGGCAGAGGACACTACTGTTGGGCGAGGAAGGGGGGGGAGTGATGTGAAGGGGAGCAGAAGACACTGCCATGGGAGGGATGATGTGAAGGGGAGCAGAAGACACTACTGTTGGGGATGGGGTGGGAGCGATGTAAAGGGGAGCAGAAGACACTACCATGTGGAGGATGATGTGAAGAGGGGCAGAGGAACCTACTGTTGGGCGAGGAAGGAAGGGGAGTGATGTGAAGGGGAGCAGAAGACACTGCCATGTGAAGAGGGGCAGGGGAACCTACCGTTGGGCGAGGAAGGGATGGGGGGGAGTGATGTGAAGGGGAGCAGAAGACATTGCCATGGAAGGGATGATGTGAAGGGGAGCAGAAGACACTACTGTTGGGGATGGGGGGGGAGCGATGTAAAGGGGAGCAGAAGACGCTGCCATGGGAGAGATGATGTGAAGAGGGGCAGAGGACACTACTGTTGGGAATTGGGGGGGGGGGGGGGGGGGGAGTGATGTGAAGGGGAGCAGAAGACACTACCATGTGGAGGATGATGTGAAGAGGGGCAGAGGACACTACTGTTGGGCGAGGAAGGGGGGGGGGAGTGATGTGAAGGGGAGCAGAAGACACTGCCATGGGAGGGATGATGTGAAGGGGAGCAGAAGACACTACTGTTGGGGATGGGGTGGGAGCGATGTAAAGGGGAGCAGAAGACACTACCATGTGGAGGATGATGTGAAGAGGGGCAGAGGAACCTACTGTTGGGCGAGGAAGGGGAGTGATGTGTGAGGGGAGCAGAAGACACTGCCATGTGAAGAGGGGCAGGGGAACCTACCGTTGGGCGAGGAAGGGATGGGGGGGAAGGTAGTGATGTGAAGGGGAGCAGAAGACATTGCCATGGAAGGGATGATGTGAAGGGGAGCAGAAGACACTACTGTTGGGGATGGGGGGGAGCGATGTAAAGGGGAGCAGAAGACGCTGCCATGGGAGAGATGATGTGAAGAGGGGCAGAGGACACTACTGTTGGGTATGGGGGGGAGCGATGTAAAGGGGGAGCAGAAGACGCTGCCATGGGAGAGATGATGTGAAGAGGGGCAGAGGACACTACTGTTGGGTATGGGGGGGAGCAGAAGACACTGCCATGGGAGGGATGATGTGAAGAGGGGCAGAGGACACTACTGTTGGGGATGGGGGCAGATGACATCATTGTGACACACTGTGTTCTTCATGCCATCTTTTTATTGGGGGCTTGATGGCTATTTATTTTTTCACAAAAAGGTCACCTTTTTGGGGATCTTTGTTTTCTTCCATATTGTCCAGGTAGATCTCAACCTCTGAAAGGTTGCCTACCCCGGTCTTAGTGACTGGACCCCACAGGGAGCAGCAGCTGTGTCTCTGCAGACACCGCGTTCCAATAGACATCAATGGGACTGTTGCACGGGGATGCAGTTTTTATTCTAAACTGCATCCAAACTGCTTCTGAGAAACATTTTGCATTCAAACCACTTTTCAGCGGCATTCAGAAGACGGTGCGGTGGTGATGTGACGCCTCCTCACTAACTTTTTTTTTTTTAATCCTGTAATTGCTGCACCATCCACGTGCATTGTATGCGGTTGCAGCACTTCCCTATTAACTTGAATAGATCGCATTTGGCGGGCTTGTGTGGCAAGGAGCGATAATTGTGAACATCTACGTCTGCTGCCTTTTGCATCTTATGGGGTGGGGCATGCAAAGTGGATTTATATCATTTATGGTTGAGTATTATGTTTCAATTAAAGTTTTTTTTTTTTTGTGTCTCGAGTGCAACTTAATTTTTTTTTTTTTTTTTTCCAGTGCAGATCTGCTCAGCTATGATTTACTGACGAGGATGGGCCACACACAGTTATCTGCAGATGTTTGCATCTGACAGATACGGAGGTAAGAAAACCAATAAATAGGTAGGCTTCTCTTTCACTCTTTGTAAATTGAGGGTTGGTGTGTTATGTGATTGTTTTAAGGGGAAGTCGGGGCTAAACCTATCCAATCTTAAATCTGCTCCCACCCCCAGTCTAACTCCTATACTACCTATAGAGCAGGGGTGTCATACTCCTGTTTCATCATGGGCCAGGTCAGCATTATCCAGGTGGCGACCGCCCTATAGCAGTTTTATCTCTCTGCAAATTAGGGAGATAAAAACCAGCACATCCCTTTGTAAAACACCACAAAATTAAATCACACAGTTAACCCTTTGATCGCCCCAGATGTTAACCCCTTCCTGCCCAGTGTTATTAGTACAGTGTCAGTGCTTTTTATTAGCACTGATCACTGTATTAGTGTCACTGGGGCTGTCAGTGGCAGTTAGTATCATAATGCCCACTGCACTATCGCAGTCCCGCTATAAGTCGCTGAACGCCGCCATTACTAGTATAAAAAATAAATAAAAATTCCAGTATATATATCATAGTTTTTAGACGCTATAATTTTCACGCAAACCAATCAATGTACACGTATTGGGATTTTTATTTTTTTAAGCAAAGACATGTAGCAGAATGCATTTTGGCCTAAATTTATGAAGAATGTATTTATTTTTTTTGAGTATGTTTTATAGTAAAAAAAAAAATATATTTTTCTTAATTTTTGAACTTTTTTAGTTTATAACGCAAAAAATAAAACAACCTGGCGGTGATCAAATACAACCAAAAGAAAGCTCTATTTATGTGAAAAAAATGATATACATCTCATTTCTGTACAGCATCGCAGCACCGCACAATTGTCAGTTAAAGTAGTGCAGTGCCGAATAGCAAAAATTGCCCTAGTCATGAAGGGAGGTAAATCTTCTGGAGAGCCAGTCGTTATGTTTGCCCTTAAAGGGCCGGTTGTATCTATAAAACTAGATGTTCGGAGCTCCCCACTCACCTTTACTTCAGATATCAAGAGCTCCCCACCATCAAAAGTTAGGATTCCCCCCACCCTTTCTTACATCACAGTGCACCCCCCTTACCTTGTGCTGTTGGGAAGCAGAAAGTTCAAGGTCTGGAGGAGGGCTAGAGGAGGGCTGGAGTCAGTTGAAAGCTGAGACCAGGGGAGGCGGAGACGAGGGGGTGCTGTGGCTGCATAGAGAGGCACAGGAGCTGTAGGGGGTGTTTTATCTTCTGTCTACCACCAACTTTTGGAAGGAGGGGGGGTAGAGGCTAGCTTCTCCACAGCTGCACAGAGAAGAGCAGGATCTGGCGGAGGAGTTCTGTCATCCTCTCTGCTGCTGACTTCTGAGACAAAGTGAGGGATGCCACAGCTGCAGGAGAGGTGCAATGGCCTTGTGTTTGACACGAGCTGCAGAGGAAAGGTGTGTAGACTTGCCTATTCTCAGGTCGTACCGGTCCAGTCACTTGATCTGCTCACAGCACCAGCTTCAGGGGAAAGAAGGGACAGTGGACCGCTGATACCTCCTAGTAAGTCTATGGGTGACATCACTACCCAGGCTGTTAGGGACCGACTGGCGGTAGCCTCTAGCGACCCACAGGCCGGAATCCCTCAGGGCGCGGAATCTAAGCCTCAGTCTGCTGTTTCACCAGAGCCCCTGATGGTGGGGATGGACTTGAAGCAGCTGAGACCAGGTCGCGACCCCCGAGTTCAACCAGCTGTGGTAGAGGTGGATTTGCCAGTGGTAGGTAACAAGTGAGAGCCAGATGTGAAGAGGTAGTGTGTAACGTAGTCAGACAGGCCAGGTCGGTAACAGCAGAGGCATACGGTACAGATCAGCAGGCAAAAGGATAAACGGGTCACAGGCCAGGTTCAGCAACAGGAGGTCAGGTAAACAGGAGAAAGCGGAAGAATGGTCAGACAAGCCAGGGAGCAGGGCAGGAGAGAGTCACGATAATCCGGGTCAGGCAGGTTCGGCAACAAAGGCAATCTCAGGTACTAGGAACAGGAATAAGACCATACGGCAATGTGAGCATTGCAAGAGCTGGTTTAAATAGCCCGCCCGGCACTGACAGGCGCGCCTGAGTCCTAGTGCTCGCCAGCACTGTCATTGGTGACAGGCGTGCCTGGGTCCTAGAGCCCGCCTGCCTCTGTCTTGTTGGGATCCTACGCATGTGCAGATTCATGCGTCGTGGCGATCTTCTCGTTCCCTGACACAGGCTCTGCAGCCATTGTTGCTACCTCTCTCCTCTCCCCTGAAGTTGGCTCCTGGAGAGATCACATGACTGGACTGAAGCCCCTGGAATTGGGTAACTATAAAAGGCTAGTTAGTATAGGCATTAGAAGGGGGAGGAGGGAGCAGATTTAAGGATCAGATGAGTTTAGCTCAGACTTCCACTTTTAAGTTTTTATTTCAATATTGTTGTGTTTTTTTATTTTTTGTTGTCTCTTAGGTTAATTCATAAAGATGAATTCCAGCCCAGCATTCCCTGGGCGGAAAAGGAAGAGAGGGAAAAAAAAAAAAACTATGGCTGCAGAAAAAGCCAGGACAACCAGGGAAACCTGCACAGCAGGGAAAGTCAGGGGAGTCGGAGGAACCTGCACAGCAGGGAGGGCCAGGACAGTCGGAGGAAACTGCACAGCAAGGAGAGCCAGGACAGCCGGCAAAGCCAGAACAAGCAAGGAAACCCTGGCAGCAAGGAAAACCAGGACAGCCGGGGAAATCTGAACAGCAGGAAAAGCAAGGACAAGAAAATAATCCTGGACAGCAAGGAAGGAAGAAACAAGGGTGGAGGCAAAGCCTAAGAGCACAACTGAGATTAGAAAAGTATAAAAAGAAACAAGCAATGCTACAAAGACTACAAGATTTGGGGTATCAAGCAAAAAACACAAATGCAGGAAATCAGCCAGATGACCCTGCCAACAAGTGCCCGGTAAGTCTCATTTTAGGAAAGTGTGACAAATTGAATTATGAATAAAAACTGCATCTATCAAAAGTAAAGCAGAAGACAGTCCTTGTACACAGAGTGGTGTTTTGTACGGCATGCGTTTACAAGGAGCTTGCAGCCGGCTTTAAGCAGCTTTGTGGAAGCCTATTGAAAGAAAAAAAAATAATTGCAGGTAAAAAAAGTGTATTTATTTATTTATTTTCTAAGGAGCCTGCAGAGAATTGCACTATTGATCAGCAAATTGTGGGTGCAATGTCAGGCTCCTGCAGACTCGTAGGATTGTTGTCTGCCCGTACCTCAGGCAGGCAATTACTTGAGAGCAGGAAGATCAATGAACTACTAGAGCACTCACCAGCACCCTCATTGTTCATTGAGAATTACAAGCCGTCAGTCGCAATGGCTGACCGTACTTGTTATCTATACGTTCACAGGATACTGTGAATGAATGACGTGACCATGTGGGTGGAGCCCTACCACTGTCACAGGGAGTGGTTAGGGTGAAAGCCCCACTCTTCTTTCTTTAGGTCTTCTGGGACGGATCAGAGCTAGTCCAATTGGTCAGAGTGGTAGCAACTGATTAATCAGAATCACTCTGATCTGTCCCAGGAGCCCTAAGAAAAGAAGGGGACAAAGAGCGGGGCTTTCATCCTAAGGAATGAAGAACTGGAATTGAAATCCCTGGACCACTGCGTAAGCAGTGACAGCCAATCACCCTTGGAGGGAAGTATAGCGGGGAACATAGGGGTGGTCAGGGTGTACAGCAGGGGTGTCAAACTGGCGGCCCTCCAGCTGTTGCAAAACTACAAGTCCCATCATGCCTCTGCCTTTGGGAGTCATGCTTGTAACTGTCAATTTTGCAACGCCTCATGGGACTTGTGGTTTGGCAACAGCTGGAGGGCCACCAGTTCGACACCCATGGTGTACGGTGTTAGTTCACCTTTTTATTTTATGTGAATAAAAGGGTGAACTTACCCTTTTAAGCCCACTTTTAAAGCTCGCAAAGAAAGCTTCTGTAGTCCTCAGAGATTGCTGGGTACAAGGTAACTGGTAACAGTACAGCACAGGAAATTATCAGCTCACGAGATTTCTGGTAGAATCAAGAGGTGTGTGTGTGGTTTTTTTTTTTTTTTTTTTTTTTTTTTTTTTTTTAAATGCTACGTTATCGAACAAATCTAACAAAATGCTTTTAATAGTATGCTTAACAGTCCAAAAGGGAACAAATATGAGAAGTTTATTGTGGTTTACGTACATTTCTTCCTCATCTGATGATCATCAAAGAATATGTACAGGGCTACTCATACCTCAAACCCCCATCAATCATTTCTTAAAAAAGTATAAAGAGATGTGAAAAAGATGTAACTTATTATCTCCTATTCTATAACAACCCTATCTGAATGGTCAAATATAAAGTGACATACAGTTCATAGAAAGCAAAAGAGTGTACATCTTTTTCCAAGAAAGTGTAACCCCGATCCCAGTGCTGCAAACCACTTCTCATACAGTGGAACCACCTTCTGTGCTCAAGATATGCTCTTGCCTTAATAATGGGTCAAACTGCGCCTTCCCTATACTCTTGGGACTCGCACAAGTCTCTCGGGGTCACCTCCGCACTTCTTTTTCTCAGCCAGGTACTGTCCCTTTAAGATTCGCTGTGGGTTGATCTATATGCCTTGGCCTCAAAGTCGGCACAGTACTGGTTGTCCTCCTCCCTCGGCATGCGAGCCAGGATGGCCTGGTGCTGCTCATTCAGCTTGTGGGCCTTCTGTCTCTCTGAGCGGGTGGTCATGTACACAACACTTCCAGGATCCTCACACCATGATGGCACTTTCCCTCCTTTGCCTGGCTGTGACTGGGTCTGTGAGATTCATTCTTGTTTCACCATCTTTAGGTGTTTCAGGCAGAGCATTATCCACGCTTATGGTACCAAGGATTGGGCTTCACCCTGTAATGGTAGAATGATACTAAAGTCTTGTTATTTAAAATAAAAAAAGTTGGCAGTGGTTTTGCACAGAGCAGCCCAGATCCTCTTCCTCTTGGGTCCCCCGCCAGCACTCCTGGCTTCTCCCCCTCCTGTCAGGTGCCCCCATAGCAAGCAGCTTGCTATGGGGGCACCCGAGCAGGCGCACTCCTGAGCTGCTGCTCTACGTGTTTATTCACACACACAGCACAGCTGTGGCTCAGCCCTGCACTATCCATTTTCCTGATTGGCTCACTGGCTGTGATCAACAGCAGTGGGCGTCAGTGGCTCCCACTGCTGCCCCAGCCAATCAGGAATGAGAGTCCCCAGAGAACCGAGGCTCTTGTGGATATCGCTGGTATGGGATGGGCCTCAGGTAAGTGTTTTGGGGGGGGGGGGGGGGGGGCTGCTACACACAGGTTTTTTACCTTCATACATAGTGCACGAAGGGAAAAAGCCTTGAATCTTTAGAACCACTTTCAGACATTCTGTACTAGATCTGTGAATGCTTCTTTTTGGTATCAAGTAGTTTCCCTCATTGCAAGGGCCTCTCTTTACACATTCTAAGAGGTCTACCAAGTGGATGTTGAGGCTTCATCTAATGCCGGCTTTGGGCATGAGGTCCTTCAGGCAGGTATTTGAGCTGCAAGCATTTTTTTTTTCTTTCTGACCTGTTGGTATTTGTTTGCTGTGTAGTCCACAATTCCCACCCCTCTGTACTTATCATGTTTTCAGTACTGCTTGATACAAAACTGAGGCATGCTGGGTAGAGCAGGGTGTTAACCTGGGCTGGCCTAAAGGTTTGGTTTGCCTGTATCCAATCCTGCTGTAGTTGGCAGTATAGCCTGAACGTGATGACTTCCTGTGTTCCACGATGGACTCCCGAAAAAAAGGATTTTACAGTGAGTAAAAATTTTTTTTTTTTTTTTTTTTTTAGGCATTTCGGGATACTAAAACATAATTTCTGATTGGTTGTTGCCTCCATTTGTTCTTTTACCTTGGCCTTATGGAATAGAATCATTCATTTTGTTTTCTTGCTGTTCTAGGCCTGCTTTTTCCCAGTGCTCAGGAGTGAACGCAAAGGTCATTTTGAGTCAGCGCTACACAAGGAAGTGATGGTATGTCAAGTTTTTTTTTTTTTGTGTTTTTTTTGGTCTTGTTCTGTTTTTCATTTGGGACCTGTTACTCAAGATCAGAGTTATCTATGTAACTCCCTACCCTTCAGTTCAGACAGCCTAGGGCTCATGCACACAGGGCATAAAAAAAACTCCTCTTTTATGGGTGTTTGACTTTTATTTTTTAGCTCGTAAAAGCACCTCTATGTTCGCCTTTGTGTCCATGCGCACCCACAGGCGTTTGCAGACATATTAGAAGAGGAGCCTTTACAGGTTAAAAAAAAGAAAAGCACCAGCAGCACTTTCAGAAGAAGAGCTTTAGGGCAGAAAAAAATGGATAACGCTCTTAAAGGCTCGACGTGTTGAGCGCTTAAGCGTTCCTTTAGTGCAGTATGCAGCTTTAGGCACTTGATTTCCCTGCCAGGAGTAAAAGGCTTTTTTTTTTATTGTGTATAGGGTTAGCCCATTCACTTGAATAGGCTGTCGTACAGGAGACAAATGCACCAAAGAAGCTCCAGAACCTTTTCGGCCGTGGAGCTTCGTATCTTTTTTCACTGTGTGATTGTAGTACAGAAAAAAAGGGATGATTGGGGAAACCTTAACAATTAATGCATGATGTGCATTTGCATCTTGTTTCTGAAATGCGCATTTCCTGGCGCTTTTGGAACCACCAAGTGTGAATTCAGCCCTAGAATACTTATTGGCTCTGAATGTTAAAGCAGATATTCACACGTTCCTCAGTGTGTGTGTGTGTGTATATGTGTGTGTATGTATATATATTTTATTTCAGGTACTTATATAGCGCCATCAATTTACGTGGCGCTTTACATATATATTGTACATTCACATCAGTCCTTAACCCTCAAGGGGCGTACAATCTAAGGTCCCTAACCCTCAAGGGGTGTACAATCTAAGGTCCCTAACCCCTCAAGGGGCGTACAATCTAAGGTCCCTAACCCTCAAGGGGCGTACAATCTAAGGTCCCTATCCCTCAAGGGGCGTAGATTCTAAGGTCCCTAACCCTCAAGGGGCGTAGAATCTAAGGTTCCTAACCCTCAAAGGGTGTACAATCTAAGGTCCCTAACCCTCAAGGGGCGTACAATCTA